TGTGGAGCACTTGCTCTGTCAACCCTGGGAAGTAGGCACTGTCATTATCCGCATTTTATAGGTGAGGAAACTGAGACCAAGGCAGGTTAAGACCACTCTGGTCTAAGGTAAGAATGAAGAGTAATTCAATGGAAGAGGCAGTGTAGCATCGTGTGGAGCCTGGGGGCAAAGACGTGGAAATAGGTTCACATTCAAGCTCTGATGCTTAGCTGCTGAGCAAGGTTGAGCACATTTCTTTGCCTCTGAATCTCAAGGTCCTCATTTGTAAAATGGGATTATAATTTCCACTCAAGGGGTGGTTTTGAGTATTAATTTAAATAATAGTGAATAGCCCTAGCCAGTTTTGTTCAGTGTCGGTCAATGAACTGAAGAGACCCAGGTTCAATTCTGGCTAAGGGTACATACCTCAGTTGCAGGCTTGATCCTGGCCCCGAGTGTAGGAGGCAAACCAATCAATGTGTCTCTTTCACATCAATGCTTCTCTCTGTTTCTCCCCCTCCTTTCCACTCTCTCTAAAAATGGGAAGATATCCTCGGATGAAGATTAACATTGAAGCTCTGATGCTTAGCTGCTGAGCAATGTTGAACACATTTCTTTGCCTCTGAATCTCAAGGTCCTCATTTGTAAAATGGGATTATAATTCCACTCAAAGGGAATTTGTTAATGAAGATTAACAAAAATTTTTAATAATAGTACATAATAATGATAATTGACATTTATTAAGTGCTTACTATGTACCAGACATTATTCTCAGCACCATATTCATTTAATTTTTACCTCAAGTCGCCGAAGCCGGTTTGGCTCAGTGGTAGAGCATCAGCCTGAGGTCCCAGGTTCGATTCCGGTCAAGGGCATGTACATTGGTTGCGGGCACATCCCTGGTAGGGGGTGTGCAAGAGGCAGCTGGTTGATGTTTCTCTCTCATCGATGTTTCTAGCTCTCTCTCTCCCTTCCTCCTCTCTGTAAAATATCAATAAAATATATTAAAAAAAATTTTTTTTTACCACAAGTCCATTATGTAGATGCTTTCATTATCTCCATTTTTTTATTCTCAAGATAATATTAGTGTAGAGAAGCTAACTTGCTAGTTAAGAGTAAAACTAGGTTTCAAAGTATCTAGCATAACCCTTGACAAATAATAGGTATTGATAATAATTATATTATTGGTACCTAGGAAAAGGGAAATGATTGAAAATATCAGAATAATAGTAATTCCTCCTTCTCATGATGACTTTACTAATAAATATTGGAGGACAAGAGTGTGAAAGAATACCAGGTTCATGGGGCTCATTTAAGGTGATGCAAGCCTTTGCATCGGAGTGAAATAAAAAAGGAATAAACTAATTTTTGGCAAATTTGATTACAACCTTGATGCATGATATTCATTAAAACAGTTGCTGTTACTTTTGGGGGCCAAATGAGCCTACTCAGGCAAAGTATGAAGAGTCATAGACAATCATATCTAGACATGTATCTACATGTTTATGTGTAACCAGGTTTTCTTGTTACTGAAATGAACTTAGTGAGAATCCTAAAATTATATTTGGGGCTGTTTTTCTTTTGCACATTTATTATCTATGTTTGTTTTTTTACTATGAATGGTTGCCATGTGAGTTTACTTTTGAAATATAGTCAAGCATGACTGGCGTGGCTCAGTGGTTGAGCGTCAACCTATGAACTCAGAGGTCACGGTTCCACTTTGTGGTCAGGGCACATGCCCAGGTTGCGGCTTCGATCCCCAGGGTGGGGTGTGCAGGAGGCAGCCGATCAATGATTCTCTCTCATTATTGATGTTTCTATCTCTCCATCTCCCTTCCACTCTGGGGGAGAAAAAATATCTATATATCTATATATCTATATCTATATCTATCTCTATCTATCTATCTATCTATCTATCTATCTATCTACAAACACACACATATATATGTATATATACATATATACACATATATATATACATATATATAGTCAGTCCATTAAGCACCATATTCTCTTGTCCTCTCTTGTATCCCCAACCCTATTCATGGCCCTAATACACACTCACACATGCACACCCCAAAGTTTGACAAAGTATAGCTTTTAAAACTCCATCATTAAGCATAAAAAGACCAAGGAATGTGTGGAACTGGTATGCTGGAGCCAAAAGGGTTTATCACATTGTAAAAAAGAATCTTTGGCATTAATGGGGAAACCAGAACCAATTGTAAAGCATAATTATCACACAAACATATGCATGCAGTACGTGTGAAGCTATGATCATTCCTTTAATCTCTTATACCGGGGAAAACCAAGACAATGTGTCTGTTGTTCAAACTCCCACGCACACTCCTCTTAGGCCCTGCTAACACATTGCTTTGTTTATGCATACATCTATAGAAAATGCAAGCAAACGCCCAAGTTCAACTCGCAAATATGATTTGATTTCTTAAAGGAGATTCAGAGTTTTGGTTCCTCATGCAGGTTAAAAAGGCTGGTCACTGCCGAAACCAGTTTGGCTCAATGGATGGAGCGTCAGCCTTCGGACTGAGGGGTCCCAGGTTCAATTCCGGTCAAGGACATGTACCTTGGCTGCAGGCACATCCCTAGTAGGGGGTGTGCAGGAGGCAGCTGGTTGATGTTTCTCTCTCATCGATGTTTCTGGGTCTCTATCCCTCTCTCTTCCTCTCTGTAAAAAATCAATAAAAAATATTTTTTTAAAAAAAGGCTGGTCACACAGCTTCAAAGTTTATCTCCTTGAGTTCTTGATATCTCAAGATTATATCTAGTAGGTGTTGACACAGTCTTCACTTGGGGTTCTTAGAGCCCAAGAGGGTCAGGTGATACTTAAGGGGATCCACGGGTGTTCTGAGGCTGTAGGGGAAGATGTGTAGGTATGGGCCCGTCCTTCTCATTTGATTCTCCAAGGGACCCCCAACATCAAGGAGCCCTTCTGCAAATCCCTCACACGTGCTTTGTGAGTGCTTCCCATGAGAACATTCATGGGTTGCTCTATGTGATTGTCACAGAACATGAGGCACAGGATACCTGGTATCCATTCCTGTTCCCTTACTGCCAGCCGCGTGCAAGTGTCGGCCCCGTCTAAGCCTCAGTTTGCTTCTCTGTTAAATGGGAGACAGGATCCTTTTCCTTCCTACTGTTCTCTTGCTAAATGAGCAGATGTATATGAAAGTGCTGTAGAAACTCAAGGGGCTCCCTAGAAGCCAGAGGCTTTGGACAATGTCTACTATGTGTACCTGTCACCGGTGATACGTTCTTGGTCACTAGAGGGAGCTTTAGGATTCAGGGGAAAGATAAACAGGTGATGCCCCTCCTTGGAAGCTTGAGGCCTCTATGAGAAATTCTTCAAAAAATGTTTGCTTTTTATAAATATCCACTTAGAAAATTATTTCTTTTCTTTCTTCCTTTCCTTCTTTCTTTCTTTCTTTCTTTCTTTCTTTCTTTCTTTCTTTCTTACTTACTTTTTTTCTTTTCTTTTCTTTCTTTTTTTTTTTTAAATCACATGCAGGTCTTTAAAAGCAAGTATGAACACAGTTCCTTGTGTTACAGGTTTTTCCACCCATTAACCAATGGGATCCATCCTTCTGACTTTCTTGGTGATAAATTTAGTTTGTGGGAAATCCTAGTATTTAGAATCCATTTAAAAGAGAAAAAAAAAAGTAGACAACTTTCCAGAAGGCCTTAGAAAGAAAGTACTTTTCCATTAGCAAAAGTGGCTTGTTGTAAATTTTATGACACATGGCGATGATTGTTTGAGGCTTTGCAGGATGGGGAAGTCCATTGTCTAACCTTGGCATGGGCTTGGAACTCTTACTTTGGATTTCCTGATGGCACTCTCTCATTTCTTAATTGCTGTGCCTTTCTCATGTTAGGGCGAGAGCGAGAGGAATCTCTTACCCATTGAAAAGAGCTTGGCTGTGGCACCAGACACTCAGAATGGGGTGAGGGAGGAGGAATGAGAGAGTGAAAGTCACCAGCTTCGCACCTTAGGGAGTCAGAATTCCGAGGACTCACTAGGAGTTTAGGATCTCAGTTTCTCTCTCTCCTGCTGACCACTACCCGGTCCTCCTACCCCAACATATATACCCCTAGTCAGATGGTCTTGAGGTGACCAGAATCAGGCCCCAGATCATGAAAGTCAAAGTTTTGAGGAGCACAAAACTCTTAGATTTATTTGATTTCCAATCCACATTTAGTTGGAGAAGGTGATGTCTTGGCATTTCTCTTCTTTGGGGCCCTTCGGTTGTATTTCATTCCTGCAGAAAACAGTGACCACCCCTTTTCCTCATATATTTGCAGGGAGCCAGGCAAACACTTCATTGCTAAGAGCCATGAACAAAACCGGTCAATGACATGGCCGGGCACTGTTCTGCCAAATTCTGTCGATTCTAAGATATGCTCCCACAAACCCGTCCTCCTCAGATTTACTTTTAAAACATGGAGGCATTCTGTGACTTATTTAAAGGGGTGCCCCCCCACCCCCCCAAAAAGCTGTTTAAGATCAGTGACCTTTCCTGCCACCATCAGTGGCCTTTTTGCGAGGAGGAAGTACTCTGGGAAATACTTCAGTTTGATTTTGTGTTTGTCTCACGCCTGCACGCTCCCCAAGTTGTCCTGTTGTCACATTCACAGGCTCACCGAAGCCCCTGGCGTCCGGGAAGTGGCCTTGGTTTCCCAGGAAGGGATTTCTCTGCTGACTGAGAGGCTGCAGGTTCTACAGGATGGAGCCCCGCTAGGCTTGGTCATTGTCTTTACAAGAAACAGCTGCCTTTCCTTGTTGGACACTTGTTGAAGTCTTTCCCCTCCTTTCCCCTGAAGTCTAATAACGAACCGAGACTAATCAGCTGATTTGGGTCAAAACATGCTGGAGGCTCTGGTGGCCCAGGATAAGCCTGGCCAGTCCCAGTGCGAGGTAGGAAATTTTCTCAAACAATACAAATACTTGATGGGAGGATCCCAGGAATGATGACCATGGCCGTAATTTTCTCTGTTTTGCTTTCCAGAGGCTGCTGTTTCTGGTGAAGGTCAGAAGGTAAGCAACAGAATCCTGGTTCCTTGGTTTAGGACTGGAATGTTTAGGTACCTACTACCATCGCTGGGATCTTGTTACAATGCAGATTCGGATTCTGCAGATTCTGGGGTGGAGTTGGGATGGGTGGGGGTGGGGATGGGAGGAGCTGATGATGCTTTTAAGGCTGGGTTTGACCAGTAGCAAGACCCTAGTCAATTTTTATCTCTCTTTCTTGTTTCCAGCTGATGCATACATAGTTGGTGGGACAAAGGATACATTTCTGATCTGATCCTCAGACACTGTCAGAAACGAACGAATAAATAAGAATTTCAAGCCCATGGGAAATCATGAGGTCGCAGATTCTAGCTTCTGAATTAACAATTAACTTTGGTATGCCATGACTTGAATTCTAATTTATTGCAAAACAGAATATTGAGAAAAGATCCACAGTGTGTACAAATGCAGAGAGCAGAATTCAAGCCAATCTGATTTTGATTTTTTTTTTTTTTTTGGTTTGAGATAGGAAAGCAGCTGTTTGTTTATGGTCAATTAAAGATATTTATTTTTATTGATTTTAGAGAGGAAGAGTGAGGGGTGTATGTAGGGATCAAGCTGGTAACCTGGGCATGTGCCCTGACTGGGAATTTACTTTTGGGTCAATTCTCAACCACTGAGCCATGCTAACCAGGTTTTAGTTTTTTGTTTGATTTATCTTTAATGGTAAGGATTGTAAGTATTATGCTCTGTAACTGCATTTGAGCAGGAACTTGGTGGGGACTGCATGAGAGTTTTGTGTACCAGTTCCTCTGGCTCCAAACCACCTGTGTACTTGGTCTCCATACTCAGTGCCAGGCATTCAGCCTAATGACTACTTCTACAAAGGGTTATTTTGTTCAAGTATGAAGAAATTTCTTGAATATTCTCAGGAGAACTGCTTTTTGGAATTGCCATACTGAGTTTTTTTAGACCTTTCTCTTGGCTCATTGTATATTGCTTTGGATTGCTATTACTTCTACTATTTCTGTTTTCTTGGGTATCCTTACAAGTTTTATTTTTATATATATATATATATATATATATATATATATATATATATATATATATATCTCACACCTTCTATTTTACAGGACTGGAAAATTGGAAGTGAACTTTAAACCCGAGTCCAATCTTCTTTTTCTTAGTGTGTGTGTGTGTGTGTGTGTGTGTGTATGTGTGTTAGTGTTTTCAGAGAAGAGAGAGGGAAAGAGAGATAGAAATCAATGATGAGAGAGAGTCACTGATTGGCTGCCTTCTGCACAACCCACACTGGATTGAGCCCTCAACCTGGGCATGTGTCCTGACCAGGAATCAAACCATCGCCTCCTCATTCATAGGTCAATGCTCAACCACTGAGCACACTGTTCGGGCTAATCTCCACTTTAGTACATGAATTTCTGTATTTAAAATTTCTGTGTTAAAAATTAAAATTTCTGGCCACTTTTAAAGACTTTTGGGGATCTTACTACTTTGCATTCTATCCTTGGATCAGCTGGGAGGCCTTTCCTGTCTCTCTGTGGCTCTTGCTCCCCCGCCCAGTTTTACTCATGGGGGCAATCCTTGGTCTTGAATAGAATATGGACACACACATATTGTTGGCCAACGTGTTCAGGCCTGGGACTTGGCAGTTCCTCACGCAACACAGTTGCCTTCAACTCCTGACATGAGGAGTAAGCCGGGGCGAGGTCCAAAGCTGCACTTCCGGAAGCTGCCGGGGTCAGGAAGCCGCAGCTTAAGGGATTTTATTCTGCTTCATTCCCGGGGCTTACCATTTCCTGCATTTCTTCCTTGTGTGCAGCCTGACTTAAGCCTAAAATGAAATTCAGGATGAGGAGGCATGATTACTCATGAATTTTTGCACAGCTAGGTCATTCCAAAGGAATCTTAGAAATGGCTCCAATTCCCAAAATATTTATCCTCTCTTTCCTTCTCACCCAAAGCAAAATTTTAAAACTGGCACAGTTGGACTTAAGTCTTTCTCGCTTAGTGCCCTTTCAGAGTCATTCTTCCTTCCTAGTGTATGCTCCCTGGGTGATGTGTTCTCCAAGGCTTCCCTTTGGCAATATCATGCTATGCCTTGCGGCAGTGGTGGGCAAACTTATCAGTCAACAGAGCCAAATATCAACAGTACAATGATTGAAATTTCTTTTGAGAGCTGATTTCTGTGCATTGGCCATGAAGTTTCAATCGCACTGTACTTGCGTCCCCACACGTGGTATTGTGTGGAAGAGCCACATTCAAGGGGCCAGAGAGCCGCATGTGGCTTGTGAGCCGAAGTTTGTTGACCACTGCCTTGGACCATTCATTACCTCTTCCTTGCCCTTTTCCCTCATCAAAACTTACCTGCTCTCTGTCTGATTTTCTCAGCAGATGGCTTTATTCAATGTGACTCTGACTGTTAATGGGTTTTGGTCCCCTTAACAAAACCTTGATAATGTGCAGGATAGCTCTATCTTTATCTGCCTGCCTCAGCATCATAGTTCCTTAATCCAGACAAGCAGGACTCTAGATGACCCTCAGGTAGTGGCTTTTTGGTGGCGAGGGATGGGTTTCATGATAAGATCATGGATGAGAGACTGGTTTGGTCTGGGGCCCTTTGGTACCAGTTCATATTATGCATCACTCATTATATGAGACCAGTTCTGTTTTCCATAAACGATAATAACAGCAGCTCTTACTGCATGGGTTTATTAATTGTGGTTACTGTGTTTCAGATAATGTACCTAGGACCTATCAGACTTCTCATTCAATTTTTATAACAACCCTGTGATATAGGAAGAATGATTCTCATTTTATGGATGAGCACACTGAAGTTCAGAGAGGCTAGGCAATTTGCCTGGCATCACACAGCCTCTACATTGCAGAGATGGAGTTCAAACCAGGGTCTGTCTCACTGAGGCTCTTAACCGTGCAGCCTCCTTTTCTCTGATCAACCAACAGGGTAGAAGCGTAAGATCAAAGAGATTCCCAGACAAGCCCTGTTGTGTCCACCTTGAATATAACCTTTCTACTTCACCAAAGTATGAAAAAACGACCACTTTGCTCATCTCTGTCCTCTCAGCTCTGACCTTCCACTTTTCCACACTTAGAAAAGCTTTTTCTGGCATTTGCATGCCAAAATACACAAAAATAATGAGTACTTGCTATTTAGTTACAAGGATTTATTGTAGAGTGAGAGGAAGGATACTAACGCATCCCATCTGGGGTTACTTAAAAGCAACCGTGTTTCTGAGTATATGTGGTTTCTATTTTTTAAATTTTTATTTTTTTCTGGAGAGAAATAATTCTAGCAACTCTTTGGTGCGTGACACATGGCATGGTTTAATAGGAGTTGGGTGACTGAAACATCTTGCTGTTATTTCTGAGAAGGCAAAATGGTCGGTCCATCTCCTTAATGAGTGGAAAACAGCATTGCTCCAATGTTAGCCTTGGACAGATGGGTTTAAACCTGTACCGGGATTTGTTTCTTTTTTTTTTTTTAAAGGACATCCCCATAAAAGTCTCCTTCTGAGACAAAGAGAATAAAAAAGACAACAAAATGCTACTTTCAGGATAAATGTACCAGTTTGCAAAAATTCACAGGGACTCCCAGCAAGGCCACCAACAGAGGCAGCAACATCTGGTTGTCATGCTGCCACAACAGGGGAGAGCAATGCTTGGGCACAGGGCAGAACGGAATGTTCCTCATAACCTGATGGGGGACACGCAATTACATGGAAGCCATGCGGTAGCAGGCCTCCCAGACCCAGGAAAACACTGAGCTGAGTGAGGCCAGAGGACCCTAGGTGCAGCTATGTTTGTCCTATGACAAACAGATGTAATTTTGAAACAGATATACACACAAATCAGAGAAATATGCATCTTCAGAGAGATTGTTGCATGTTTTTAGACAAACATAGAATGAATTATAATAGTATTTTATAAGAATAATAAAAGAACATCTCTAGTCTTGGAAATATATTCAACTGAGACCATGATCTTCATGAAAGACAGTTTCCATTCATTAATTCATTAATTCACGCTTCCATTAATTAACTTATTCATTCATTCATTCATTCATTTGTTCATTCATTTATTCATTCATCAAATGTTTACCAAGTGTTTCCTATGTGCCAGGATTTGTGCTGTGTGCTTGATATACAAAAAGAAATAAGGCTGAAACCGGTTTGGCTCAGTGGATAGAGCATTGGCTTTTGGACTGAAAGATCCCAGGTTCAATTCTGGTCAAGGGCATGCACCTTAGTTGCGGGCACATCCCCCAGTAGGGGGTGTACAAGAGGCAGCTGATCAATGATTCTCTCTCATCAATGTTTCTAACTATCCCTCTCTGTAAGAAATCAATAAAATATATTTAAAAAAAATAGGAAATTGTCTCTACTCTCAGGAAGCTCATAGACCCTAGGAGACTCATAGAATGGAATAATTATGGGTCAGTATGCTTATGGGAAGCTTAGGAAGGTCACCTAACCAGCCTCCTGGAGAAGGTGTCACCTAAGCAGGGTATTGCAGCACCTTCAGCAATAATCCTACACAATATCACTTTGCCATTTAACAAGAAGTGAGAAAAGTAACGAGATATTGGGTGTGTGGTGGTGTTGGGGTGGGGAGTAATGGGATATTAAGTAAAAAGTAGGAGTTGAAACTTTTAAACTGGAATGTTTGAGGGGGAATGCAGGCCATTGCAGGCTCTGGCTTTCGATGATTAAGGTTAGGAATCCTTACTGCTTCCCAGGTGTGCCTACTTGAGCAAATGCTCAGCACACTAAGAGCTCAGGGTTTGCAGGTTTCAGTGAGAGAACACTTGTAAAGCATTGGCTCGGAAGCTGGCTTATTGAAATGTCAATAAATGTCAGCTCTTGTTACTAGTGCTGTTATTATCCTCAGCAGTGTTCTTTCGCTGGTTGCCCTCTTCATCTCCTGTCCCTGATTTCTGCCTCCATGGAAAAACAGAGGGAGGGACAGAAAAACATAAAAAGGATATAAAACATGAGGGTGTGATGGTGATTGTCAGCCTGGAGTGTGGAGTTGGTAGGATTCAGAGGACAGGAACACACTGTCCTTGTCTCCATCACAAATCCTGCCTTCAGCCCACTGATCTCCTCTCCGAAAGACAAAAGCGTTAGTGACACCCAGTTCTAAAGTCTAATTGATAGAACTTGTAGCTCTGCTGCTACTCCATAATGTAAAGCCCTCCTCCTGGGAAACTCCTTTTGCTAGCACAATAAATACAATCCCTGTGATGGGAGCATGGGGGTAGGGGTGGGGGCGGTGAGAAGGGATGGGAGGTGAGGCCCTGTGCCTGCCCAAGGTGAGGAGCTGGAAATGAGACCCCTTTTTAAAGGTGGAACTATTAAATGGCTATGCCATCACCAGAGGATGACTAGAAAGAAATATCTTCCCTTAGCCCTGGACGATGACAAGGAAGAGAGGCCCAGCTCCCATGGGTTTTGAACTTGAACTACATTGAGTGGCCAGATTATTATGATCTCTGAATGCATAATAATCTGGCCATTCTGAGTATATTTTATATAATAAATTGTATATCCTATATAACAAATTGTCCCCTCCACCAGGAGTTTGACCA